TATATATATATATAAATTATTGCAATAATATTGAATTAGCCATTTAAATTGAAATATGACCAAGATAATCATGATACACGCGTTTCATTATAGTATTAACGAATTTGCAAATTGTCTTACATAATGCACGCAACATATAGATAAAGATATTACTATGGTCTTCATAGTATTTTCGAATAGTTTATATCCTAGATATTTTAATATCCATTTTTATTCAAATTATCGCACAGCTATAATATAACTTATAATCGAATAATGAAAGAAAGATTTTCGTTAAAATTAATTCCCACCTGAGAATATAGCAATATGGTAAACCAACAAAATTTGCCAGCTGTAAGTTTTAGCGGTGATGAGACAGCACGACACATAATAATTACAAGTAATTTCGCGTCCTTAGGAGGTAAACTATACCACTCGCAATTGTACGCTGTGTCAGCTATATCTGTACTCTGAAAAATTATCAAATCTTAATGTATGTTTAAATCTAATATTTAAATTATCCAAATTTTTATCAAAATAACAGCAACTAATTAATTCTTCCTTTATAAACGATACCTCGAACGCAAGTCTCTCGCCTACGTAACAATACAGGAGCAATTGTACCATTATGCAAACTATATAGATACAGAGGAATGCAATTTGGAAAACGATGTGTCGTCCTAGTTTCTCTTCAAATGACTATAAATAAAATTACGTCAAGAAAGACGAGTTATTTCATGACTTTTTTTGTTTGTTGCATAAACATAGATTCAGAGAAAAGTAATAATTTTCTTTGTACCATGATAACTTGGAAAGTCTGGAAGCATAGTTGAATGATGAAGCCAAGCATTTGAATCAGGAGCATCATGTTGAAACAATTTTCTACAGTCTCTGAAAATCTTTTGACGATTAACAAATCATAGGACCAATTTACTTGCAAATCTCTACCAATTAAAAATCAAATTAATTAATTTCAAATAATAATAAGTAAGTAATAATGATTAGATACTAAATTTCGGACAAAAAATAATAAGTTTCAAATGTAGGAAAACATATTGGTATTACTAATTCTATGATGAAAATATATCACTTTCATCTTTTGTTTAGATAATATAATTTGTGAAGGTTATACTGGGATATGTAGGATATACTATCAAGTTATATATTTGGAGGATAATACAAGACATAAAACATTTTAACGACTAAATATAAAATATATCAATATTGTATGATGTCAATAACTTCCTTTTAATATGAAAATATTACTAGAATCATCAATAATTAGAATAATTGTTATTAATAGAATCACAATAATCATCAACGTTAATAATTTCTGTTTAATACAAACCTATTGATATAATTATGCTTTTGAACAATTTTCTTCAACTTCATGTGTAAGTTATCTTTATCGTACGAATGAATCTTTATTAAATTTTCCTTTAGATTTGAAAGCTGTCCGCAAACGTGTAAAATCAGCATAGTGATAAAAGTATCCACCGTTGAATAAAAGATAGTCGAACATGCCATAGCTAAGACTTGTCCGATCATTGTCAGTTCGTAGTTTGGGCTGATGGTCACGTCGTAGGGGAAGTAGCCACGAAAGAACAGTTTATTGTCGCTGTGCTTCATGAAAATTAGTCGTAGCAACGTATAAGTGACGTTTATTATATAGCATAATATTAAGCAACTTGCCGCAATCATTCTATTGATCCACGCGATGTTCTC